CCCTCAGTTCTCAGCTCCAGTGAACTCAGTCTGTCGCCCCCAGGCGCAGTCCTCGCCTTCAGCTGGCCGGGGACACGACACAGCGTGCGTCGTGCGGGCAAGGAGATTGATGCTGCTCTTCTTGGTAGATAGTGGTGAACATGAGATGTCGACGACGACGATGATGCTGGCGAGGGCGAGAAGGAGTAGGTGAAAGGTGATTATGGCAGTTGTGATTGTGACCGTGTTGGTGATGGCGACAGCAGTGGGGATAGCTGTCATGATAATGATGATGATTATGATCATGGTGTTGGCTTTGCGGTGACATTGGCGAGGACAGTGCTGATGTTTTTCGCTGGCGATGGTGGTGGGCGATGATAAGGATTGCTTGGGAGAGCACCACGAGTACCATTGTGTCTGAAGGAGCGCTTCGGCCCGTCAGTCAAGGAAAGCCTGGAACTCAGGTGTGAAGCGCGGGTCTTTCATGTAAGGCAAGGCCCCGCAAAGTCTCGTTCTCCAGCTGACAGGTTTGGAGAACGCCTTTCAAGTCGCCCATCGCCTCGGTCACCTCGACAAGGGTGCTGCAGTGGGCACGGACCACCTCCTGGTAGCGTGGGATGAATTTGTTGGAGCTTTGCACGCGCAGGTCGATAGCTGCAGTTCGGGTCTAACTTCAGACTTTAGAGTCAGGAGTTCCGATCAATCGCGGTCTCTCATTCCTCGTCTTAGCTGGGCCAGAGGATGGGGCATGAAGCATTCAACGATGCGTCCACGGCAGTTCTCAACATAGGACTGAGATCCCTATTGGCCGTATTACTTCTTGCAGGTAGGCATGGCGGTTGCGCAGCAGAGTGCTGCCTCGCGTGCCTTACGTGCCGTGGGCGTGACTGTACCTTGCCAGGAACGCAAAGAAAGCAGTATTCGGAGGGCCTGGAAGTTTTCATTGATTCGGAACAACATCCGACGCAGGGCTGAGGATCTCGGATGGCAGGCCAAAGTGTATTCGTGCCCGAAAAGCTCAGAGCTGTCATTGCTGGAGGTGATCGTATGTCTATCTCGTGTGTGAACCTAAGTTTATCAAGAAGAGCACTAACTGCTTTTGCAGCCTTCAAAAGTTGAGCATGTGCAAAAGAGGTGAAGGTCGCAATGCCGATTCTAGAGGAGACTGTAGATGCCGTTTTCCAAGGCAGAGGGCCTGGAGGAGAAGTTGGCAGACCTCAAGCCGCCACCGCCCCGACATCGCATGAAGGTTTCAGGTAAGTTTAAGCAAAGCTGCTGCATCGCCGGTCGTGGGTGACGCTTAGGGGAACACAGACAATCAGCAGCAGTGTCTTATGCAAATCTATGGTGTTCTCAAGCATACATACCATGCTTCTCAGAATCCATAGCACACTGAATACACAGATGACAACAGAAAACGCAGCTCGAATCAGCGGATCAAATGAGGTCGGAAGCCAGCAAAGATCCGCCGAATGCCATCGAGGTGCTCACGCCTCCTTTGGAGGCCAGACTTCGTGCTGGGTCGGAAGTTCCTTGTCACTGTGGCCCTTGTGGTTTGATTTCGGACTGGCTGGCTCTGTTTTTATTGTAGCGTTTGAGATTATCCATCCTCAGCTGACTCAGGAGTGCTTGCAATGAGCCAAGTGTCTAAGGTGCATGATATGGTAGCGTTCGAAGGCACATGCAATCCTCGCAGGGTGTCGTCGCGTACTTGACCTCTCTGCGACAGAACTGCCGTGCAGCGAAGCTCTAATTACAGAAAGTATCAGGGGAATGACAAAGAAGTGGAATGCTAGCAGTAGTGAAAGTAGAGAAACACAGTAGGCCAACGATCCAAAAGCTAGCGCAATATCATGGCGCAATATCATGGCGCCCCTTCAGGGTTTAACACATGAAAGCCACAGCGGCTGGTATATCAGTTTCGGCAACATGCACGTTTGATCACTGTCCGCTTGAGTCTCGAACCCTGCCTATTCCGCACCGGTGCAGCCGCCCATCCATCTGCCCGCATCGTCGCAGCAATCGTTTTCGTCGTCCTCATAGCAGTAGTCATAAGGGTTGTCGTCGTAGTAGTAGTGCTAGTAGCACAAGTAGCCGGAGCAGTAGTGAAACTAACGGTAGTGGTGGTCGTGGTCGTTTTCGCTGTCGGGGTCGTGGTCGCGGTCGTGGTGGTGTTGTAGCTGGTGGTTATGGGGGTGGTGGCGGGGGTTTCTTGTAGTAGTCGTGGTGGTGGCAGCAGTTGTAGCAGTAGAAGGCGATGGCAAACGAGCAGCGACAGCCATAGAGGTAGTTAGTAGTGATAGGAAGGACCATGACAGCAAGAATCAAACGCCCGTCCAGGCAGAGGCCCTGTTCTACTTGCGACGTGCGTCAGGCAGCTGTTGGTGCATGGTTGTTGCGTGTCGGTGGCCTTTTTTGCATTATGCTTGAATTTTGGATGCTGCAGTAAGGACGAAACGCCAATGCATAATCACTATAGTAGGCCAGTAGGCACTGCAGCACCTTACGTCCCGTGGCGAGGGATGTTGAGATGGCTTCCCACGGAGCCGGGTGCAGACCGTATGTTGGGCACCGAGCACATCATGCTGGGCCGCTTTGATCAGCAAGAAAGCGTCGGAACAAGTGCATCGTCTTGTCTCGATCGCGATCTCCATATCAGTACTAGTTGTAGCAGCAGTTGTCGTCATCACAGTCGTAGTCAGTCGTAGCCGTCGTAGTAGTAGTAGTAGTAGTAGTAGTAGTAGTAGTAGTAGTAGTAGTAGTAGTAGTAGTAGTAGTAGTAGTAGTGGTCGTAGTAGTAGTCATCGTAGTGGTAGTGGTGGTGGTGGTAGTAGTAGTGGGAGGGAGCAGTGGGAGTAGTAGCAGTAGTAGTAGTAGTAGCAGTAGCAGTAGCAGTAGTAGTAGTAGTAGTAGTAGCAGCAGTGGTAGTAGTAGTAGTAGTAGTAGTAGTAGTTGTTGTGGCAGCAGCAGCAGCAGCAGCAGCAGCAGCAGCAGCAGCAGCAGCAGCAGCAGCAGCAGCAGCAGCAGCAGCAGCAGCAGCAGCAGCAGTAGTAGTAGTAGTAGTAGTAGTAGTAGTAGTAGTAGTAGTAGTAGTAGTAGTAGTAGTAGTAGTGGCAGGAGTAGGAGTAGTAGTGGCAGGAGTAGGAGTAGTAGCAGTAGTAGTAGTAGTAGTCGTGGTGGTGGTGGTGGTGGTGGTGGTGGTGGCGGCGGCGGTGGCAGTAGCAGTACCAGCAGCAGCAGCAGCAGCAGTAGCAGCAGCAGCAGCAGTAGCAGCAGCAGTCGCAGTAGTCGTTGTCCTCGTGGTGGTGGTTGTGGTTGTGGTTGTGGTTGTTGCCGTGTTGTGGTTGTAGTTGCTTTTGCTGTTGTTGTTGGTTTCTGTTGCATTCGTCGTCGTCGTAGCTTGGCCTTCGAGGATTCCTGAGCAATGGCAGCCATGCTGCTGGGAAGCTTCTGCTGGCATTCGACGGCGAAGGATTCGATCGAACGGCCGCTCGCCTGATGTGACCGTACTGGTGTTCGCGGGTTACGGCTGGTTTGCCTCAATCATTCGTCGAAAAGGCAGCTACTATCCCATGATCGAAGCCCTTCCAGGTCTCGGATGATATTTACGAAAACACCTATTTGGGCTTGTCTCGAAGCGGAAATGATCCATGATGGAGAACAGCCATGTAATGTTGAAGTGCATGATGGACATAGCAAGCAATCTTAGCGTGTGACACCCGCAGACGAGGTTACGAAGTTTGACTCCGGTGCCGGTGGTGCTGCATCCAACCCCCGTCGGGCAGCACTGCGGAAGGCTTCAGAAAGCCGCTCTCGAGCTGGACACACTGTGCCTTCATGTGTCGACCAAGTTGTCTTGATGCGTTTGTCCGTCCGTCTAGATCGATATGTCGAAAGGTAGACTCGGGCACAAAGAGCAGTGAATATGCAGTCACGAAATCTCTTTTCCAGATACATAGTCGATCACAGTCAAGCAGAGTATACGCATCTATGTAAACATAGTATGTATATATACGTACATGTAGATATGTGTGTATGCATGTATGTCTGTACATCGGTAGGTGGGTAGGTACGGTCGTACGCACATAGGTATGTATGTATGTACGTATGTAGCTGGTTCCGAATGTATGCACGCATATGCATGTATGTATGTATGTGTGCATAAGGTATGTAGATGTTAGCGTTCATGCATTTCTAGTTTGAATTAGTTTACGTTGTACTCTGTTGTATCATATTCGGTTTTGTTATGTTATGTTGCACTGCATTGTATCGTAGTCCAGTCATGTTGTATTTCATTCTGAGATTATTGCATTGTATTGCACTGGATCGAAATGACCCTATACCATGTTGTCGTGAAAACAGTTTTTATGGTGATATACTAGATGAGGACAGATCTGGTTCGATTCTCTTGTCTTGTAGCGTACAGGACAACAGTGACTTGACCGGACCTGTCATCCATCAATCAGGCCCTGCACTATTCGACAGCCATCCCTCTTTCCATCGATTGGCAAGGTACACACACACAAACACCCACACACAGACATGTGTGTGCTGTCCAAAAGCCTGATCCACTTCGAGTGTATGAACCCGGGAGTTTGGTTATGCGGATCTTGCTTGTCCAGGCTTAGGTGTGAATTGTGCATGCGTATATATGTACATATGTGTGAATTGAAGAACAGATCATGCTGTTCCTGTTGTGTGCTGTGGAGCCTCACGGGCACATGTTCATCATCGCCACCATCGGTGGCTCAAGCATGCATGAAGCCAGTTCGAGGCACGGAAAAGAAGCCTAGTCTTATGCGATTGCAGACATGCTTTATGTTCATTGTGACTGGATGTCCAGTAGACCTTTCTTTGAGGAGACACTCCTACATAGTGTCATGATCAGGCTGTTGAGCTTGATAGGGGGAACGACGCTGCTGCTGTCAACATGGTAGCGGAGCTTGGTGCTCTTCTGTACTAGCCTTTTGATCCAGGGCGCAGCGTATCAGTTCCGTTTCGTCAACGACAGCTTCGAGGCCATGGAGACCAAGGACGATGACAAGAAGATTCCCACCTTTGACGGCCGTCTCGATACATACAGAGAATATCGTCGACGAGCTCTTCTTTACTATCACGGCCTCGAGGATTCCAAACAGAGCTTGGCCGCTCCACGACTGATTTCGGTTCTTTCTGGTTCGGCGTTCGAATGTTTTCGCGAGAGAGATCCTGGAGATTTCCGAAATACAGGTGGCGTGAAGGCCATGTTAGACATCCTTGATGCCCGATATCAGTACACACCTGAACAAGAACTGTCAGAGTGGCTTGAAACTCTGCTCTACAAGTTACGTCGGCAGCAAGGTGAGGAGACCACAGCCTTCACAACCCGTTTCGAAACCACCGTGGCTAAGGCAGAGGAACTTATGACTGAGGAGTTGAAGCTGGAGAGAAGGCGTCATCAAGATATGATCCGAGCCGAGTACAGACGCCAGAGTTTAGATTTCATTGTGGCGCAACAAGCACATCAAGCGGCATTGGCGGGACTCGGTGATGGACAAGATCCCCCTCCAGCTCCAGTTCCTCCGACCCCTCCTTCTGAACAGGCTCCCGTGGTTCCGTTTCGGATGCCGGAGGTGATGAAGGGTTTCCTGTATCTGCGCATCACCCTTCAAACAAGAGCAAGCTTACTTCGATCAGCAGGCGGTTCACTTCGTTACGAAAAGGTCTCCGAGCTACTTCGTCGGACGGAGTTGGATGCCCTCGTCGCTTCCCGCGGAACCAAGGTTTCGAACCATGGCTATTTCGCCGACTATGATGAAGAGGAGTTTGGCGACGAGCAGGACGAGGACTACGATGAAGACTTCGACGAGGATGATGAGTTCGGAGGCTATGCCGAGGACGAGGAAGAAGATTTCGCTGATGACGACGAGCATATCGACGACGACGGGGATGAAGATTACAATACGGCTATGATTGGCTACTTGGAGGCCCGTAAGAAGCTGATGAGCCTCAGGAAAGCTCGTGGATTCAAGGACCCCGCGGAGGCTTCGGTCGGCAAGGGCGGCTCGGGTAAGAAAGGCAAGGGACGGGACACACGAGGTCGTCCCTGGCGTGAGGGTCGCTCGGGCCGCGGTGATTTCCAGTGGCGATCCGGTCATGCTTCCTCTTCGGCTTCTAGGTCACAGAGTCATTCGAGAGGCAAGGCCAACACTGGGAAGAAACCAAAGGGGCAAGGACGAAAGCCCAAGGGAGCAGGAAAGAGGAGTTACGAAGGCCGCAGAGGAGATCCCAATGGTGCACAGTACCTGGGTTGGGCGGCTCAAGCTCCTTCCTCATCGGATGTTCCTCCCAGCAGTGCTTTGCCGGCGGAGTTCAAGCCCGAGTTCAGCTTTATGGCATTCCCACGTCCCTCACACGGCATTTCAGAATTGGAGGTGGAGCGTTGCCTCATGTGGGATAGGCGGCTAGGTTTAGAAGCCGAGGCGCCGATCAGGCCGCCAGGTTTGGAAACCGAAGCGCCATGTGTAGAACATGTTTGTTTGGCAGTTCCTCCAGGCCATGCTATCGTAGATACGGGTTGCACCTCTACGTTGGTAGGCTCTGAGAGTGAGAAACGCTGGAATGAGGAGTTGCAGAAACAGTCTGGAGGAAGTTTAAAGGCCGAGCGTGGACCATCGGATGTGAAGTTTGAGGGCATCAATGGGGAAGCACGGGCCACGTATCAGGTAAAGTATCCTGTGAGGATAGGTGGCCGTGACGGTTTCGTTCAGGCTTCCGTGATTCCGGGTAAAGCCCCATTTCTGTTGTCCATCCAGGCGCTCCGGCAGATGCGGGCTAAACTTGATTGTGAGGCGGATCTTCTAGAGATACCGGGGATTGGTCGGATCAAGCTTTCCGTGAACTCGGTAGGCCATTATCTTCTGCCGTTGTTTGATTTCCACAATCGGCCTAGCCCGCCTCCGGGTTTGGAACAGGGCCTGTCCGCTGCAACTGAGGCTAAGGTCGATGGGCCGGAGGATGAAAATGAGCAAGAGGCAGATTCAAGGCTCGGTTCAGTGTCCCAAAACCATAGGGCAAACGTTCATCCTCCGGACCCCTCGGCCGTTCTAACTTACCAGCCCCAGATTGCAGAGTTGTCCAGGAGATCAGATAAGTTAGCCAAGAGTGTTTTATTGAGGTTGGCAAAGGACACAAAAGGGCCCTGGATTCAACTTCCAAAAGAACTCGCAGCGGTCCACTTAGTGATCGGTAGACACGGTTTTATAAGCGTCGACATTCCCTGGCAGATACGGGCGGCTCAAATTGGCTATCGATCGAGAGTGGTTAGGCGGCCACCGCCAGCCTTACTGAGGGAGGCTAGCGTATTAGTGGTAGCCGTGGGCGACAGGACGTTTAGAGTGCTTAAGGATTGGACGGAGTGTGCCAAGTGCGCCGGTGAACCACTCGCGATTGATGCCTCGGATGCCCGATTGTTCCTGTTTGTGTTTGCAACCAAGCCACAGGACAGTGATCTGCGCGGGAATGTTAGGCAGACTTCTTTAGAGCAAGGGTTCGCAGCACGTGGAGACCAGGTGTTGATGGCGCATCATGTGCATGAAACTTCTGATGCTGATATGCATGCTCCCTTGCTCCAAAGCCCTCAGGATAACGAGTTAGAGTTCCAAAGTTGTGACGAAGGTGAGAGTGATGAGCGAGTGCCAGTGTGTGATCAAGGAGGCGACCACACCACCGGCATACGCACATGTGGGCAGTCATCTGGTGGAGACCTTCTCCAACGGGTATGGTCAAACATGGCACTGTGCAATATGCCGCGGCAAATGCAAGATTTGTCGGGGCCGAGTGGCGAAATGGGTGCGGTCCAGCGGACAGTTGACTTACACCCATCGTCGGGATTGCGAGTGCACTATGATTCCAGGTCCCACGGTATCTATGCAGATGTCTCCACTCGTCACAGGCGATCACATCCGCGTCGCCGACGCCGAAATCCATCTCCCGAAAAGCAAGAGCATTCCATATCCATTCGACATTCGCAAAATCACGATGCAAAAGCAGGATGTCCACCCGAAGGCACTGCCAGCATCAGCAATGGCAGCACCGGAGTGGAATACTACACGATCCACGGACAATGTGGAAGCGATTCCGAGGGTCAGGGCGACGATGACGACCGATCAAGTTCAAGCTTTGCGTGCCGAGGTACCGTCATCAACAATGGCATCGACAGCGATGCCCGGTGCGAAATCCTCAGCTCCATCGCCAGCCCCAGCACCGGACCTCAAGGTTGTGTTGGATGCAGTCAAGACGATGATGCATCAGGAGTATGGTGTGCAACCTACGGTGGTTGCCGATGTTCCTATGGAGAAGTCGTTGATCGAGCAGGCGGTAGAGCTGGAGGGTCAAGCCGCCGAGCTTCTCGCAAGGGCAGCCTGGCTCAGACGGCAAGCTGGACTGTCGGGAGCTCCGTCGGTGAATCCGGTGCCGCCGCGAGTGGATTCCATGACCTCGGGGGCGATGTCATCAACGGTGCCTTCGGTTGCGCGGATGCCGGTGCCACCGGGGATGAACGGTTCAGAGAGCGGCAGCCTAGCATATCAAAGGGTTCCCAACGATCCCGACTTTTCGGATGGTTGGGAGCAGGTGTTGCTGCGCTAGCATGTGTATCCGGTATGGTTGTGCCCCCCAAGCCTTTTCACGCCGAGCCACAAGAAGAGGGTGCCTACTTAGGTACATCATGGCCTAGGCTATCGCCTGAGGTTGGTGTTGATATTCCCGTAGAACCTGGTTTGCAGCTACCGGGGGCGTGGAAGGCGACGGGGCCACTTGATATGAACAAGCGGGTTACGAGAGCACAACTCAGGACGTGGCTGGGTGCTCAAGCATGGAAGATCGACCGAGGTTCAACTGTAGGTCTCATTGAGGTCTATGCCGGTCGGGGTCATTTGAGCGATGCCCATGAGCAGTTGTGCGAAGGCTCGGAAGCCGTTCGCTTGGGTTACATGTATGGTCAAGAGTTGCGATCACCAGAAGGTCAATGGTTCACGCTGTCCCTCATCGATCTGTGTAAACCTAGAGACGTTTACGTATCGTTACCATCCAAGAGTTGGTGTAGGTGGTCTAGCATTAACGAGCGGCGAGAGCCCGGAGCTAGGTTAAGGGTCTTGCGGGACAGATTGGAGGGCAGGAAGGACATGGACCTTTTGTTTCAAATCGTTGATCGGCAGTCGCGAGGGCACCGCCATGCACATGCACAAAACCCGCAAACTTCCGTGGCCTGGTTAGATAAAAGGTTTGGTGAGTTGAAGGTGCCACATGGTTTTGTGACTTTTGATGGGTGTGCTCTCGGACTCCGTCATCCCAGGAGTAACCGTCCGATCCGAAAGACCACCACGCTCTTCACGACAGCACGCGCTCTCGCTGAGCACATTTCTCAGTTCAGATGTAGCTGCGACTGTCAGCATGATCGAGCCGTGGGGAGCTTTCGGGGCAGATCGGTTACCACCTGGAGTGAGGAGTATTCGAAAGGTCTCGCTGAAGCCCTGATTCAGGGAATGAGGCCAGGCCTAGTGGAGCAAGCCAGTTTCCTTGCACCACTGCACTACGATGAGCACGTTCAGTCGAACCCTGTGGAGCAATGCTATGTAGGTCAAGATGGTATTGTTCATAGGGCGTATCCGGTAGATTCCCAGTCTGTTGAGTCTCCGATCCCACCACCGGCTGTTTCACCACCGGTGTCTTCAGAGGCCTCAAGTGCCGACAAGCCGGCTACCGTGTTCAAGGTTACAGACACTGAAATGTCCAAACAGCTGACGCTTCTGCAGTTCCCAGGCCGTTATTCCAAACTCGATTTGCCTTTGCAAGTGCAAACACAGCTGCAGAAGTGGTCTGGCTTGGATGTGCACACGGTGGTCACGTCCAGAGGTCTAAAGTGTTTCGTGAATCCTCCGGTGGGTGTTGTATCGACTCGCCGAACCCCGCTTGTACGAAGCGGGGGCGTTTGGTACTTTGTAGAATATAATCACGAACTCGGTTTGAGCAAGAAGAAGTTTCGCTTGCCACTTAATGCCAACTTAGTTGTCAGCTTCTTCGGTGATGTGCCAGCGCCTTCGCAGCCTCACATTCCTGCAGACTCACAACCCAAAGAGCGTCCAATTCCAGGTGCACCTCCCTCGTTTGCTGATGCCCGGAAGGTCCACGAATACCTGAATAGATTACACGTTGGACTCTCACATCCCGGGCGGTCCGAGTTCATCCAACATCTACGCGACGCGGGAGCTGCACCATGGCTGCTACAGCAAGCTTCACGGTTTCATTGTGCCGTTTGTGATGCTCTCAAGCCTCCACAACCACACAACGTCGTTGGAGGACCTAAACCCCGCTCGTTTAACAGCATTCTGAGCATAGATACCTTGGATTTAACATTGATCCGCGACGCTGTGCAGCATCGAGTGTTCTTGCTCACTGCCATTGATACGGCAACATCGTTTGCTCGCGTATTCTATCTGTCCTCCGGTGACGCGGAGGCCGCCGTGCAGTCTCTCAAGCGGGGGTGGATAGACAGTTACGGCGCGCCCGAATACATCTATGCAGACCCTGACACCATCTTCCGTTCCGAGACTTTTGCTGCTTTCCTCACTAGGCACGCCATTGTTGAGAGACTGTCGGCAGCCCAAGCCCCGTTTCAGCATGGTCAAATCGAGCGTCTACATCGTACGATCCGGCAACAAGCCCAACGGGTATTCGAGAGTGAGCCAACTTGTAGCGCGTATGAAGCCGCGGTAGAGGTAGTCCAAGCTAGAAACGAACTAATGCGGGTTGAAGGAGTGTCGCCGGCAGTACTCGTGTTTGGCAAGCTTCCGAAAGCACCGCCCACGTTCGCAGAAGGAGACGAAGATTTCCGACTTTTAGCCGAGCGGTTGCAAGGAAGTGATCCGTTATACGAAGTTATGATGCTCAGGCGAGTGGCAGCTCGCACGGCGTGGGTACAATCCGAGGTCAGAGATCGCACCTCCCGAATTATGACGACTAGGTCTAGGCCCTACAAGGGACCTTACTACCCAGGTCAAGTGGTTTTAGTGTATCGTCGTAGAAAGGGAGATGCGGCCAATCCAGGCAGAGACGGCGTGTGGTTGGGACCGGGCGAAGTCATTGCTGTAGAAAGTACCAATGATCGTTTGGTTCCAAGGGTAGTATACGTCACTGTGCATGGCCGGCTTTTCTTGTGCAGTCCTGACCAGTTACGCCCGGTCTCCGTGAAGGCGGAATGGGTCATGCAGAAGCTCCAGGAAGAAGGTTTAGCCAAGCAGCGTAATTTTAGTGAGATGCGAAAGGTTCGGGGAATAGACGTGAGAAATGAAAGGCCCAGCTCCGCGGAATTGGAATTGGAATATGAGCAACCTGAGTCAACTGTAGTTTTAGGGGACCTCCAGGGTGAGGCCGAATATGATCCCTATCCTCAGGCCCCTCCTACTGCACCTGGAACTCCCGTACCAGGTACTCCAGTGCCTGCTACACCACGTTTAGGACCTGTACGTTCAGCCGAACAACCGCCAGAGCCCGTTCAGGTTCCTGACGCTTCCAGCACGGGAGTGCCAACCTTAGCAGTGCCAGAAGACACACCAACACCACCGGGTGGTGAACCAAGCGGGGGGGAATCGCTGGTGGGGGATAGGGGCACTAAGCGCGTATCTGAGTTTCATCGAGCCGTTGAAGAAATGTCAAGGGATCGGTCTGTGCACGGTCCGCCTCCAACTGCTGAGGTAGCACCACTGCGCGGGACCACAGTCCCACCTACTGTTCGTACGGGTTTAGAGTCGGAGCCGCGACCACGCAGTAGGTCACCACCACCTCGAGAAGGGAGCTTCTTGTCGTTTTCTGACTTTGACGGCATGCCTTCGGATCACTCTTTGGAGGCGTGGTTTTCAGAATCTCAAGAGCACGATTACGAAGCGACTTCCGTAGGATTGGAGTTCGATGTATGGCTAGATGAAATTCAAGATGAAATGTCGGTCTGTTACTTAGTCCGTGAGATGGCTCTCAATGCATCCATGGCTCGCAAGCGGGCGGTGGAAGTCTCTGAGCGCCACCTCACAGCTCAGGAGAAGGCCATGTTCCGAGCAGCCAAGGCTGCGGAATGGTCACAATGGGTCGGTAACGACGTCGTCGAACTCATAAGTAGGCACGGTGTAGATCCTAGGAGAGTTATCGCTTCACGCTGGGTGTTGACTTGGAAGTCAGTACCAGGGGAAGTGTATCAAGGTCCTGGGGGAGCCAAGGCCAAGGCACGACTAGTCATCAGAGGCTTCAGGGATCCCGATTTAGGTCAGTTTAGTACGGCTAGTCCCACTTTGTCGCGGCAAGGACGTCATGCAATCTTCACGCTAGCTAGTCACTACCAATTTCGGGTGTTTACTCTAGATGCTAAGACTGCTTTTCTCGCAGGTGACCAAACCTCAAGAACGAAGCCAATAAACACCGAACTACCCAAAGATCTTGTTGAGGAACTGGGTTTAGGAGCCGATGTCATCGCAAGGATCAAGAAAGTACCTTACGGCTTAAGCGAGGCCCCTTTAGCTTGGTACAGACGACTAACTGCGGAGTTAGAGAAGTGTGGTTTCGAACAGGTTCCGGCAGATCGTTGCGTGTATGTGCTTCGTCGAGAGGGTCAGATATTGGGAATTGTTGGTGCCCATGTTGATGACCTGTTAGTTGCTGGGTGTTCGTCCAGTGTTGACCCTAGGTTTGAAGAGGCTATGGCTAAGCTCGTGGCGCGACTTCCGTTCGGAGAGCGTAAGTACGCAGACATGGCGCCTGTCCTCTACACAGGTCTGAACGTTAAACAACATCCACAAACACGTGCCATAACCATTGATCAAGCGCACTACGTAGCAAAACTGAAGGTACTTCCTACTCGCAAGCTGTCCGAAGGTCTCTTAGACAGGCAAGGTCAGACACAGTTTTGGTCTCAGCTTGGTGCTTTGCTGTGGGTTGCAGTTAACACACGTCCAGACGTAGCCTACGACGTTTCACACTTTGCCTCGTATGGTTCTCGTCCCGAGAAGCAGCACCTTGTTTCCTTGAATAAGATAGTTAGGACCCTTCAAGCACGTGATTACAGCATTACCTTTGCCAAGGTAGCAGAACATTGGGATGACCTTACTCTCGTAGTGTTTTCTGACGCAGGCCACACTTCGCGGCCCTCCGGCCATTCTCAGTCCGGTACGGTTGCGTTTTGGGCTCCTAAAGAAGTGCTGGCCGGTAAGGAGGTTCGGGCTGTGCTAGCTGATTACTCCAGTTGCAAGATAGATAGGGCCGTGTGGTCAAGCTACGCGTCAGAGTTGCAAGCTGCGACTATCTCAACAGATGCTTCCATCAATCTGATGTTGCTTTACGAGCAAGTGTTTTACGGTCTGAAGGCAAGACAGGTTAAGGAGAAACTCACTCAAGGTAGTACAGTGCGGGCTCTTGTTACTGATAATAAGGGTTTGTACGATTCCATTCAGACCGAGAAACCGTCCACTAGGCAAGGAGTGAAGATGCAGTCCCTTGTGTACCAGATTCTCTACGACCTGGTAGTTGACTATGGGTTCCAGACTTTCTGGGTTAATGGGTCGCATATGTTGGCAGACGGTTTGACAAAGCTTAGTTCGTCTGGTGCACAAGTCGATGCAATCCGCAAGGTTCTCGAAGACTCACTCATTCGAATCACTTACTGTGAAGTTTCTGGACGGAAGGAGCAACATGAAGTACGGCGTTTGCGGCCCGTAGAACCGGCAAACAGAGAGCTGGAGTCGTCAATAGACGTTTAGGCTCCTCTGTAACACGTTTTGGTTTTGGCCCAGGGTTTGCAGTGCTCACAGTGAACTGTTTAAAACACATTCACTCGGATTGCGTTACGAAGGAGTATGCAGTCTTCTGCTTTTGAACCCTTACGAGGCATCCACAACACAGCGGGGGTGTGAATTGAAGAACAGATCATGCTGTTCCTGTTGTGTGCTGTGGAGCCTCACGGGCACATGTTCATCATCGCCACCATCGGTGGCTCAAGCATGCATGAAGCCAGTTCGAGGCACGGAAAAGAAGCCTAGTCTTATGCGATTGCAGACATGCTTTATGTTCATTGTGACTGGATGTCCAGTAGACGTTTCTTTGAGGAGACACTCCTACATAGTGTCATGATCAGGCTGTTGAGCTTGATAGGGGGAACGACGCTGCTGCTGTCAACAATATGTATTCACCAGAACCAAGTATGCTCGTGTGTAAAATGTTTGCAGTCTAGATACATGCAATCAATGAGAAGGCGGCTGTCGTTTTACATATCTGTCTGTGCCCCACTTTGAACCACGAGCCCGGAGGCTCTGATGGAGATCGTTAACGAGGGCCGTGGTGATGCCACCGCGACAGAGCCAGCGCTCACCGAACGTGCGCAGTCGTCGCCATCATCACCTGCCTCCAGTGCAGACGGTCGGCCCATCGACCGCTTCGCACCCGACCTCACAGCTCTGGCCAAGGACTAGATGAGCTGAGATTGTCGGCAGGGCAGTGGGTATGGCTTTGTTTCAATATGTGGATATTGGCAGCCGTGTCTCGTCTGCCAGACCTACGGTGCATGAGGCCTGATTCAATGGGAAGTTTGGTAGCCGAAGCCGACAAGACACGTAAAGCTTACATACGTGTGTACATGCATACGAACATACATATATACAGATGCATATACATACACAGATATGGATGGGTGGGTGGATGAATGGAAGGGTCGATATGCACACACGGAGGCATCGCATTTTGGTGGGTGACGACGAATGCGTGCATGAACGTGAATATATGATGCACGATGGTTTTCAAGATGATGATCATTATGGTACGAATGGAAATCCTCCTGCCGCGCTATGCCGATTATTCGCCCATCTGTGTGGCCTTCCCCCACAGGATGCATGCATAAGTCTCAGCCATAGAAGTCGTCGTAGAACCATTAAGTGGCCGTCGTCTACCGTGGTGATGGTACCAGGGATGATGCGAGAGCCGTTGTCGCAGCAGGAGCTCAGTAGCAGTCACTGCACGGCGACAGCAGCAGAAGCACCATCCGTATTCTTCAAATCTGCAACCAGGCCTAGGCTTGTTTTTTTTGACCACAGGAGGGTCGGCTGGACCCCTTCACGGGCCGAGAGGCGCTGCTGAGCCGTGTGGAGCGAGCCCTTGGCCGGTGCCCCGGCGGAAGCGACTTGCGAATGCGAGGTCATACCCTTTTTGGTTGGGGCAGTAGGTGCAGCAAAAAGGTAGGATTTTGTCTGTAGATACTTCTACTGCTGGTACAATGTTGCGTTTGGAGATGTGTAGAATCGTAGAATTACATGATCTTGCGAAGTAGCAAGGCGAAGTCGCATACAAACACCTCCACCCACAGATCATGCGGCTGTTCGTTTGGTTGCCCTACAGCTCACACATCAGCAGCAGTGTCTTTTGGAACTATCGATGTCCAGCATATACACCACTGCGTGCCTCAAAGGCCATGATCTGGCGAATCCAGTCCAAGAAATCGGGTTTTCTGTTGATCGTGCTCTGTTTTGACTTGCGAAGTATTGATGACAGGCGCAGCTTGCGAAGGAGATGTGGGACAGGAGTCTACATGGTTCAAGAGGGCAGCACACAACAACCACCGTCGTTCCTTATCCCAAGTGGAGTGCTTTGCGTCTCCGTAACTCGAAGACTCGAAGAGCCACAGTTTCCCGTCAAACTTCAAACACGTGCCGAAACGGTTTAGAACTGGAGCTTAGCTGCCAACCGTGCCTGTCGCTTCATAAGCTGATATGCTCGCAGTGCAGCATTCAGCCGGGAGGCGGATGAAGAGAAATGTGCTCCTTGTGGGCGACCCTGGTGTTGGGAAGACTGCCGTGGCGTCTTGCTTAGATGTGGTATGAATCTTTTCTTCTTGGAATGTGGACAGGACTTGGCAGAGACAAAGCTGAATTTCAGCACTGACATTCAGGTAGAAGCTTTGGCGCAGCGAATTGCAGCGGGCCGTGCCCCTACTTGGCTGTCTGGGAAGAGGCTTGCCAATTGATACGCTGCGTTGCGTTTGAGTCGTGCTAGGTGCATGGCGGGGTGAAATTATGTATACCCTCTGTTTAGGCGCAGCGGCCGACCCATGCCTATAATCCCAAAGCAACACTGAGAACACAAAGATGCACGCTCGCTTTGCAGGCTCAGGAGCCTGGACGTGGCACTGCTCACCGCGGGGACTCGTCTGCGGGGCGACTTCGAGGAGCGACTGCGCTTCCTCCTCGAAGACGTGGACCAGGAAGGCAGCTTGAAGTGTGTAGCAAGACGTTGAGGTTGAATGCATGAAAGCAAGGGCTGCTGTAGCAATGATTTGTGTCGCAGGGAAGATGAGGTTCTGCCTATGTTGCCTCTCTTGTTTCGGTCAGGCAGTGTGCTGTTTATCGACGAGGCGCACACGCTGATCGGAGCTGGTGCCACGGGGTCCAGCCCGCAGAATGCGGCCGACATCCTGAAACCTGCGCTGGCTCGCGGCCAGCTGCAGTGCATCGCCGCCACAACTATGGAGGAGTATTTCCAGTACTTCTCCCGGGATGCAGCCCTGGAGAGGCGCTTTGAAGTGGTGGAGGTGGAGGCCCGGGTTCGCGGTTCGGAGTAGTGCCATCGCTGCCTGCATCAGCTTGGCCAAGTCGGCAGCACCAGCTCAGGAGCCCACAGCCCAAGAGACGGTGGTGGTGTTGGAGGGTCTCCGGAATCACTACGATGCTTGACCTGAGCGAGCTTGTTAGGCATTGCGAAGGGTGCGAGAATGAAAGGCAGGAGTTGCAAGCCGCAGTCCTCTACGTTTCTTGTGCAAGATCAAGATCCTGCAAAACTGCTCTTTGATGCCCTTTGAAAGGAGCGCTACCATGGGGTTCGGAGCCTTGGCTGGACCAACTCCGTGCAAACTGCTTTGAGGGAGAAGCCGTCCTGGTGTTCCTCGTTGTGGCAGTGATGAGAGCAACACAGAGAAAAGGAAGGATTAGCTTGGTAGCAGCAGGAGTAGTTGTAGGGGTTGTTGTGGCGGATAGTGGCAGTATCATCGTCATAGCAGCAGCGGTACAAGCCGTAGCAGCAGGGTCGTTGGTCGTCGCACAATGGACATGGCGATGGTTGTGGCGCTGTGTTCCGCTTCTCGCGACCGACCTGACCGACTATGCGAGAAATTAATTACTCTGTGTACGACTGATGGTGTTCCTGATCCTTCCACGGCGATGCCCGGGTGAGTGATGATAATGACGAAATCTGGGCGATGGTGATGGTCATGGTGATGAAGATAGTGACAAAGTCGTTGCTTCGTTCGAACAGTGATAGTAACTTTTTCGAGTCGCAGTAGTTGCAATTCCATTGTTCATAGTCACATCGCGCAAGGTGGGTTCGGTAGTGGGATCTGTTGTCATCATGAGGTTCCAAGATGCTGCCCTGGCCTCGGCAGCACTCTGGTCGGAGCGCTACCTGCCTGAGCGCAAGCTGCCGGACAAGGCTACGGCCTGCCCAGATGCTTAAGGCTTAGGTACCCCCGTCCACGGTGTCCCCTCAGACACTGAGTTATTCCCACAACTTCCCTTTATCATCACTTGCAAAGCTTGTCGGCGTCCGTTCCGGTTTGGAGGCGATTGATGTGATGGACCGCAGCGCCGTCTTGGCGAAGGGCAGAGGAGGAGGTGGAGGTGGCACAGACAAGGCCTGTGGTGTCCCGTCGTGGCTCTTTGGTGCAGGAGAAAGCTGTAAGCTCGGAAAGTGGGCATGCACTTGAACACCTTGGCTTCGTGTCGATAAGTAGCCTGCCTCCCCAAGTATTTCTTTAGCGCTGGAAGCCTCGTATGAGGATTGGGCAGGCCATTCCGAGCCGATACCACTCCAAGTAATTCGGTGCGTCAAGTCACCCCCATCGGAAAAGCCTATGCAACAGTGCTCGAGGTGTTTGTCGAGACAGAGGACGTCGCTGCTGCCCTCGAAGAGTCTGTGGGCATGAGCCCGGGGTCCGTTCCTTGCCTTGCCTTTTGCACCACCACATCCACGGAAGCTGGCAATCTGGATGGCAAATCTTGCAGCCTATTAAATGCATGTGTGGGATGGAGGCTGAAACGCAATGAGGCAGCCCCACGGCAGACAGGGAGTGTTCAACATGCAACATGTAGAAATTCGCAGTTTGCAGTGCCTAGTTTCCTGCAGCAGTCTGCCACAACAACCGCTCAAGTGAAGCCTCTTGGTGAACAGCCCCGAGATGCTTTTTCTCCTTCAATTCGATGAAAAAGGGTGCCCAAGCCTGCCGCTCCGAATCCAAAGCTCCAAAACTAGGATAAGTAGAACGATCTCTGTGTAAATCCTAAGCTTTCTGGGTCCAGGCCCCTATAGGTTATGAATTCGAAAGTCCGGACTTCTGTAAACAGTCTCGGCGCCCCGGCGAACTCGAATCCACTGCGTTACTAGTAGGTGTCCGAAGTGGAAGCCCGGAGCATCCTCGACCTGGAGGCCTTTCGGGTCCGGTTGAAATGTCCAAGACCGTGTAGGTGTAAGCTTCCGGGTGCAAGTGCCAACTAGTGCTTCAATGACATGCATCCGGCCATACTGAGGCACATATTGCATACATGCATACATGCATACATGACGCATGCGTACATTCTCATATACATGGGATTTTGCATGGCATGTACCTCCACGCGGACTCCCTGCCAGGAGGCTCTGCGAGCCCGAGTGCGTGGCCAGGAGGCTGCCGTACGTCTCGTCGCGGCGGCAGTGGCTCGGGCCCGGGTGCAGCTGCAGGCCATACTAACGGCAACACTCGGAGCAAGAATAGGAACACTGTCATGACTTGTATCTCGCTTATTAGGCATGGAAGTACTAGAACCATCCTGCTGGTAGGTTTCGCACGACTACTCAGCCCGACGGATCGGATCTGGTTCTCATAGTGTTGACAGCCTGCTCCTGAATACGATTGGACAAGCATGCAGAAAGGAGCTTCACCGTCCGATCGGATCGTTGCTGCTGTATGGGCCTCCAGGCAAGATGCGGGTGGTCGTGACTGTTTTCCTGTCGCAGACGGACACAGGGATAGTTTTCTGCAAAGCGTGAATGTTTGCAATCAAGCACAATTCTTAGTCAAGGTGATCGTTCCATTTGAGTGCTGAACCCCCTCGCGCAGGCGTGGGCAAGACCTCGCTAGCAGCAGCCCTCGCAGAGGTCTCCCTCGGCTCGCGCAGTGCTATGGTGAGGATCGCTACTTGTTTAGTCCATAAGTGTCTGTCAGTGATGTTTCAAGCGTCTGCGTCGGCAATTACTTCACCATAAATACAACAACTCATGGATCCTCTGATTGAGACCCCTGGCAGTATGGGGAGCGGGCATGAACATTTTAGGAAGTGTTTCGTGCCTGTTCCTTCAAAAACGAACTACAAGTGCTGGCGTGGGACTGTTGCAGGGGTCCAGTCAGGGATGCCTGTGGCCGATCGAGAACAGAACCCTGTGGATAGATCCAACAGACCATTGCCGAGTAAGGACTGTGCCAGTGCCTCCAGCGCTGAGGGCGCAGGACTGCACTGGGCTATGTAAACCCACCGCCCAGAAGCCGCTGATTCATAAGTTCACTAACAAAAAGGACGAATATCAGGATCTCCATAAGACCCCATCCAGGGAGGGGATATATCAGGACACAGGATCAGCTTATGGAAGCCTAAACCTCTGGAAGCAGCACCTTGCATAACCCAAAACCACCACAGAAAAAAGCACCTTGAGCAACCTGCAAAGCTTAAACCTCCAAGCCCAGAAGCCAAACGATAAACCATTAAGGCGTTCCCTTCCCTCCCGCACTCCGTCTCTCCCCGCCTCTTTCACTCGCTCCCTCTGGTTCACTCTTTTCGTGCTCTCTTCTCTTCTCCTCTCTTCGCCTCCCTTCTCTTCTCCTCTCTTCTCCTCTCTTCTCTTCTTTTCTTTCTCTTCTCTTTTCTTCTCTTCTCTCCTCTCGTTCTCTCGCTCGTCTCTCGCCTCTCACTGAATGAATGGACAGTCGCGATGCATCCGCACATTTATGTGTACATTTGTAAAGATGTGCAACTATGCAGTCAATAGTCAATAGTTAGTATATGTCAAAGAATCAACTTCACACGTCCATACATACATACATACATTGACCGGGGAAAGTGGTCCCAGTCGAATGAAATATTTACATACATAAGTACATGTGTGTGTGTGTGTGCGTGTGTGTTGTGTGTGCGTGTGTTGCGCTCGCCCATATGCACATGTCCAGTTTATGTAATTGTACAGGATCTATCTATCTATCTACGTACCCAGCTAGCTAGATATCTATCTGTATATGTAGCTTTAAACTTTAACTATACACACTTGGCATACATGCAAGTATGTCACGTGGGGCATAGGCCAACAGATACAGCATGGAAGTGCAAAAAACAACCACCGACAGGATGTATTACACGTAGGCTCACGGACATGCCAGCCAAAATTTGGAGATCCGCAATAGAATCTTAACTTAGGCAGGAAGTGAGCAATATAGCAATCAGCGGTCTACATAACCCTTACAAGCCCCTAGCCCTAGCCTGTAGAAGCCTTACTTCCAGGAGCCGCTCTGGTCAAGGGCGTCCGCAGGCGACCCCACTCCGTGGCAGCTTGGCTGGACGTTGGACAAGTCTCGACGGTGCTTGGGGTTTGTCTGGAAGCGTTCCTAGGATGCAGGTCCCTGATGGCACTTTTCAGGTATCGACTGGTAGTGACCCTTGGCCGACTGTCCTGAGGTCCTCATCGATGAGGCGGACAAAGCACAACCCGAGTTCCTCGGGTTGCTCCTGGAAGTACTGGAGGAGCAGCGAAGAAGCCTTGTTAGGAAAAGGGTCTTGCATTGTATTTTGGGGGGATGAGTAGTGTGGGCAGCTGCGGAAGCACGAGCGTGAACGAATGAACGCAGCGCTGGGGTGTTTGGACTGACGGAAGCACTCGTCAAAAAGCTGCAGTTTAGTTGATTTTGCAGCGCCCCCGATGGATATTGTTTGTCCGTCTGAACTTACCTTGCGCAGGAAGCCTCTCTGACGTTGCCCGGTGTGGAGGGTGTTGGCCGAGCAGATTTTCGACATACCGTGCCTTGTTTTCAACTTTGCGACGATTCCCCGCTGCGAAGAGACTGTGCCATACTCATCGTTTCCCCTAGCATTGAACTGATGACTGATCGACCCCACGCTGTGAGCCATAATCGAAGGCCTCCTCAGCCTGTATTCTTTTTTTGCTATGTGCAGAGGCCATTACTGCCATCTCGAAGACTTACAGTTACAGTAAAAGCTAACCCCTCCCCATGCACATAATAACTTAGAGGGCACACCTGCTCAACAGGCATCTGAGCTGATGCGCTCGTACTGAACTTGTCACGAGTCCATGTCTGCAACAGTTCAGCGCAAGCAAACGTCTCCAGCTGTCTGCTGCTGAGGTCATTATCCTCACATCAAATGACCCGGGGGGGCCCTCCTCGCTGCCACGGGCGCTGGCCGATCGCCTCGACGGCTGGGCTTGCATGAGGCCACCAGTACACTGAGAGTAGATTCGCCCTGGCTCATGATTTCATGTGTCTCGCTTCGGGAGTGTTCCGTGTTGGCTGACAAGCACAGTATCCACGGATGCTGGGAGTCGCTTCCCTGAGTTCCACTTTGAGGTCGCTGACTTCTGAGACGATTCGGGAGGCTGGTCGGCTGGCACTCTCGGATTGCGGAGCGATGCGAAAGCCCCCGTATACCTCACACGAACAGAAGGTCTTCGATGGCTTGGTGGAGGACTTTCAAGGCCGGCTGCAGCGCAGCTACCCGATGGCGTACCTCGAGCCCACCGGTCGTTGGCGCGAAGAAGTCCTGGCGAAGACTGGCAGGGATCTCAGCATTGACTACTGAGAGTTGCAACGGTGAAGGCACCTTTTTTGGCTTGGCCGGCTTGCCCTCTACAGTCAAGCCGTATTTAATCAGTTTGCATGGCGATTCGTCGTTTGGGGTTGCAGTGCTATGAATCTAGCTTGTTAAAACAAGGCCTCTCCGCAAGCCTGCCAGATTTGAGGAAGCTCCCCCCCCCCGCCCGCCCCCAATGTGAAATTTGTGCCAACCAACGTGAACAATTGGAGTTTCCAACCTGGCTAAGCAGAGACATTTCACCTTTGTTTGTGCTCGTGGATTCTCCATTGTAATGGCTGCCGGTCGCGTGCGGCGCCTGGCGGCACAGCTTGAAGCGCGACCAGTCGCAGGCATGGTTGAGACGTCGGCATGCGAGTCACCACCTAAGTACGAAACTAAAGCTTGCAAGGAGAGCTTGCACTGCTCGCCGGCAAGGCAACTGCATCCCTTTTGGCACACGTCATCTCGGCGGCAACCGCTTCGTGCAGGTCGCCATCGTCACCGGTGCCTCCTCTGGCGTCGGTGCCGCGCTCTCGCGGCGCTTGGCTGAACGCGGCTGCAGTGTGGCATGGGCCCCCAGTGCCCAGCGACTACTTTAGGACTTCGTGCCTTTTGACCCACATCTAACGCAAGCTCTCCACGTCTCCACCGACACTGAGGTCATAAATTTCTCCAAAAGTGCCGATGACGCGGCAAAGGTTGCCGAGGCAGGCTGAGTAGCGCCGAGCCCGCTTCCGGCACTGGCACTGAGCTGACAGGGCTGTTCAGCCAGTGGTGCTCAGGCACGAACATGGGACGGGACCCGGGTGGTTCATGGTCGCTTTGAATAGATGCTGACAACTTGTTTAGGTGCTCCTATGCCAAGCGGATGTTGCTACTGATGCCGGTTGTGAGAAGCTCGTGGCAGAAACAGTGGGGCCCTCTGTTGAATTGGCTTGTGCAAACCCGACCTGAAGATTAGTCATGTGTGGAAAGTGTCTTCGCAATGAATGTGACAGGTCAAAAGGTTTGGGCGAGTTGACTTTTTGGTGAAACTTGGCCGTACTGTTCAGCAAAGCTCTCGACCAAGTTGGTCTGTAATGTCTGGCCTCCGAGGAACAATGCCGGTACAACGAAGTTTGTTCACCATGGCGACTTGGAAGGTCTAAACTCTGCCGATTTCCGACGCATCTACGAACCTCAGCTTGCTCAGACCAAGTATACCAAGTTCGTGTTGCGCCGTTTCTGGCGTGACGTATCAATCGCAGTCTTCAAGCCAGGACCTGAATGCCATCGGCGCCTTCAACATGATCCGATTGTGTGCTCCACACATGAAGAAGGCCCTACAGCTGCTTTTTCTTTGCCAGCCTTGGTCTCCAGTCGCAGTGGCGAGGCCGGAGGAGGTCGCATCGTCAACGTCTCCTCGGTAGCCGGCGCTTACCACACTGCTCCCTGCTTGCACTCTGCGGGCACTGCGGGCACGGCGGGCACCGCTTGCATCGGGTGTCCAGTTGTGAGCGAAGTCGAGCAGTCTAAGGTTGGCAGCTCCGTGGCCTACTTGATGCGAGTTTGCAATTGAAGCACTCGCAGCATGCCACCGCCACGGACTCGCCGTGTGCCCATGCCTTAGCTAAGGATGTCAAAGGCTGCACTGAACGCTCTCACCGCAGACAAGCCCCCAGCAGGCTTCAGCATGTCCCTGAAGAGTACACGAGAGACTCTGAGGTCATGGCCAAGGTTCTCGGGCCGGAGATCGTCGTGAATGCTGTTTGTCCTGGATTCATTGAAGGCCGATGGCTTCGAGAAGGCACAGGGCGCAAGTTCGCCACGCCGCGCGACCTCAGCGTAATCTACGTAAATTTTGCGACCTCCGAGTGATTAAGGTATAGACTTGCTGTGTTAGGGCTTTACGGAGCATCTTTCAGGCATGGGTCCTGATCTTTACGACTACGTCAAAGAACGTCTGGAAACCAGCATCCCCATGAAGGCCGTGGCAACCCCGGTTGCTCGTCATGATATTAGTCGAGACCCACGCGTCGTGCACTTCGTCCGTCGTCCTACCTTGCCCTGGTGCTGTGCAAGGACAAAGTGGCGGCGACAATTCTCATGCTTCTGGAGGCTCTGACACATTTTTTTCGAGTGGGATGCTTTATTGGTTGCTGCGCGAGATAAATCCTCCAGCATGCCAGCATCTGGCAAGAAGAACCGCTTTTCGCCTATGACACTCCTCGCACAGGCAAGCGAAACCCAAATCACGGGACAGTGCATCGTTTGTGATGGCGGAATGGGGCTCATGAGAGGCCCCAGCTGATCTAGATTGAGCAAGGCTGGCAGCGAAAAAGATGCGACACCTTGCATGTACTTCGGGTCAGACCTGCCTGCCACGGCCATCCATCACATCTTGTGATGCATCGTACTCTTTCTTACTGTACAACGAATAGGCTTATTGTCATGGCTGGGCGGTGGGGTTTGACCTTCCCCTCAGGCGTGTCGCAAATGCAGAAAGAGGAAGGAAAAGAGAGATAGAGAGAAAGAGAGGGAGAGAGAGAGAGAGAGAGAGAGAGAGTTGGCCGAGCCCTCTCGGGTCGTGAAACCCTGGGGGGGACATCGCCCCGCCAAGTGTTGCGGGTGTGCGGACCGCACGGGAGAAGGGCCAGGACGCTGCCCTTCTCTCCTACCCGGAAGAGAGAGAGAGAGAGAGAGAGAGAGTTGGCCCCCATACCCCATACGCTTTGCAAGCAAGCAAGCAAGCAAGAGAGCAAGAGCGCTTGTTGCGCTGCATCGATGCGCCGGGGCAGCCACAAGGGAGGCGGTCTCACTCATGAGGGAGGACCCCAGTCTTTCAGTCCGGGGAGAGGTGCCGTCATGTAGAGCAACCTGGGCCTTGTACCGTTCCTTTCGGGGCATTCAGTTCAGAACAGTTTTATGCACGGCAGCCTCGCTCGCTTCGAAGCCCGTCATTGTTCACGAGGCTCAGTTTCCGGAGCAGGCCAACCGGACTGACACCGAGCGAACCCTCAACAGAGCGGGTGCCTTCACGAGGGGCTCCCCTATGCCGTGACAAAGCAAGAGAGACAGGGAGAGAGAAGAGAGAGAGATAGAAGAAAAGAGGAAGGGAGGGAGTGTTCAGACTGGCTAGCCTCGAAGCCCATCAGAAACACGGAAAGAAAAGAGCGTGAGCATCATTGGCTTGCCGATCTTCCTGCTCACAACTTTCTTGCCTGCTCCACCCACCCTCATGCCCAGGAGCGAGACAGAGAGGGAGAGTGAGAGAGTGAGTGAGAGACGCGAGAGCACGAGACGAAGAGAGCGAGAGAGAGGGAGAGAGAGCGAACTACACACCCCTTCCCCAGCCTAATGCGAAAGAAGGACAGAAAAACGAGACCAGGAACACGAAGAGCGCGGTGGTGGGGGTTGTTGCTGCCGTACACTCTGGCTGTTCGACAAGCATGTACCCGTTTCTGAAAATTTCAACTACATCACACCGAGGAGAGGACGATCCGGCCGGCAGCTTCGGTGCTCGCTCGCTTCGCCGGGTGCTGCGGCGTGCCCCAGCTTCGACATTTCCACCATCATCGTCGGCGTTACGATTCACTTCTGTCATGGTTTGTCCAAAAAAAGCGGTTATCATTATGCTAGGACGGTGATGGCGGTCATTATCATAATTGTCGGTAGTTTGGTAGCACTAGCGGCGCATGTACATTGACGTACTAAATCGTGTGTGGCTCTCTCTCTCTCTCTCCCTCTCCCTTCTCTCCCTCGGGATATTTATTCACACATATACTCATATATAGCTATACATATGTTGTTGTAAAGTGCTTTCCATTTGTTCATGCATTGCTTCTCGGCCCGAAAATCTATGTATGCGTGCATAGTATGATGTTCATTTTTGTATGTTGGTGAATAGTGCTGTGTGTGGCTATTTGGTGTGGCAGCGGCAAGTCCCACTATGCACTGTTCAAAACCTTTTTTTGCAGGGAATGCCAGCTCACGTGCCCAAGCACAAAGGCTCCCTGGAAGATCCTGTCGCATATGCCATCCTGAACCACAAGGCATTGGTCTAGGAAGTGTCTGCTTCAGGACTTCTGGCTATGAGACTTGAGGGTTTCCCATCTGTGGGGATTCAGGGCTTGGCAACTGTTGGAATGTCGTAGTGACTGGTGACACCGTTCAGCTTGGGTTGCAGGCTTGGGTTGGATGCTGGAGAGGAGGAGGGGCAGCTGCTACTACTGTAGCAGTGCAACGAGCTTGGGCATGCTTGACCTTGGTTCCGCGCCATGTCTCCGCCATGTGCTTACGTATCTCGAGGCTCACGAAGCCAAGCCTGTGCGAAGAGCTCCTCGGATCGGAGCTGTGGTCACATCTGTTAGTCTTTGCATGTAACTGCAGATTTTCACTTGTCCTCCATGCCATCCAGACATACAGTGTTACAGTGTGATCATGCGCAGTCCATCGGAGTTACTGCGGAAACAAGTGGCTTTGGCGCGGTGAAAGTAGCATTTCGCATGCCGAGGTTGTGGTGGATTGGAGCACCTCAGGCGAAACAGTGGTGTCAGTCAGCGCTGACTGACCAAGCCATGAGATCATCAGTGATGCTTCCTGCTTACTTTTCACTTCAAACAGTATGGTGAATGCATCTGTGCTTGTGTGCCGGTGGGCGTATACGTCCGTATGTAATTGCGTAGATATGTAAGTATTCATGTATGTATGTAGGTAAGTACGAGTGTTTCAATGTCGTAAGTTAATGTAATGGAACGTAAAGTAGTGTAATGTGAATATTGTGACGTAATGCACTGCAATGTTTAATGTGTGCACTAGTACGTATATATATCTACGAACATTGCCAAACAGAAACAGTCTGTATGTATATGTGCTTTCATATACTACTGTGTGCGCATGCAAAAGCATCGACACGCAGCGTTGGTCGCTTCGAGAAGTGTGGATTTCATTCTGCTATTCGCTGAAAGCTTTGCGATGGCTACGGAGAGAAGAGTTGCCACGCGGGGTCTAGTTAGACAAGGCGTTCTCCGGCAGGAGGGCATGAGCCTCACAATTTTTGCAACATTCGCCAACTTCGCCTTGGCAACGATGAGAAAAGGCTTTATGTATCTTGGTTTCTGCATCATGATCAAAGCCTTTTACTGCTTGCAGCATGCGATTCATGCAAAATTGTGTAACAGACCCTTTCCTGGGGAATGTGTCCCATCTCTTGCTATGTACCGTTTCGTGGATGTTCATTTGTTGTCAAGCAGCTTGAGCCTTCAATACACGTCGTAGCAAACCGTCCAGTGACAAACGTTTGACATACAGTCAGCCCCATGTTCGGATTTCGGCACAGCCCGACCACCATTGCAACACCATACTTCGGGGCATTGTGATTCAGCTTTTCTTGATTCTTTGAACTTACACCGAATATCAGAGAAGTTGTAGCCAAGTGTCCGTGAGTCTGCGAAACCAATCATCCCGAGCCAAGTGCCACGTGCCTGCCATCATGGCAGCCCGATCCTCAGATTTGTCTGTAGCTTTCGGATTTTTTGTTCGCAATCGACGCTGGGGGAAGAGTGCTACACTGCTACAGCGTCTTACATTTATTCAGGGTACAAGCTCCGATCTTGGACGATGCCTATGGTTTTGCTGTATGCTGAAGTCGGTTTGTGGAAACGGCTGCCAATGCCACTGCCAGCATACCTGAGCATTCGTGCAGGTTTAGCGGATGACACGACCCTGTGTGCTAGTCGCTTTGTCAAGCACGGTGAGTAACGAGGCTGCGAAGACCTGAGATGCTTATACATTTTCTTTGCTGCATACAGACATATATGCATCGTTGTGTACAAACAACAGTTGCTAGCAGAGCGGAAGCGAGTCGGTGTGTTCGGTTGTTTTCTTTGTCTGAATTGTGTTGCCTCTGTTGTCTCTCGTTTTGTCTACATGCCTGTCTGCTCTCGTGCCAACATGCCTGTTTGTCCCTCTGCCCAGCCGGTGGCCTATATATCCAGACACCACCTCTGTGTCTGTCAGCTCACTCTCAATATGGTTTCTCCTAGTTGCCCCGTCACAAGTTGTTTATGCATGTACATAGAAATGTGTCTGTAAAGGTATGTACGATCCAAAATACATATACACATATATATATATATATATATATATATATGGTGCCCCCCCCATGGATCCACCGTTTGTTGGCTTCATGTACGCGCCGTCGACAACGTCGTTAGACAGTTGTTCTTCAAGGGCCCAGGGCAAGGGTTTGGGGGTTTAGGGAGCCTAACTGAAAAACCTAACTGACAAAACCTAACTGAAAAAACCTACCTGAAAAAACCTAACTGAAAAAACTTAACTGAAAAAACTTAACTGAAAAAGCCTAACTGAAAAACTTAACTGAAAAACTTAACTGAAAAAACCTAAAAACCTAAAAAACCTAAACTCGGGAAGTCCTTCAGAGAGATATCCATGACAAGACTCTCGAGATTTAGGTTTTTTCAGTTAGGTTTTTTCAGTTAGGTTTTTCCGTTCGGCTCCGGGCACACTGTCTGAAGCTGTTTGAAGCCAAGTGCTCAGTTTACACATTCTGCGTTCTGTATTCTCGATCGGGCCATACGGATGCGTTTTTTGAGCGCGCGTCGTCGCTTCCCGACGAGATGATCGCAGAGATTTGAGACTTTACACGTTGTGTCTGAGTTCAACTTGTTTACACGATGCTGATGCTCATAATGCTTCCTAAAAAGAGCACATATTCTACAGTGAAGAACCTCAGAACCAAGCCGTGCCTACAGATTCTACAGAAAACTAACTGTTTGTCGGCTACCTACCCGATGGCACTTGTTCGCATCTTTAAAACTTTGTTGTAATGTTTTTTCCTTATGTCACTTGTTCATGAAGCTTGTGCTTTATGTGCCGAACATGTTTACCAGGATCTCGAGTGCTTCGTGTTGGTGAGCGGTTTTTCAAAATGATGGCAAGTGGTGGAGAACATCTTAGTCAAGCTGAGCGTTCATTCTTTGGTCTGTAAATATTGGCGAAATCACCAATGGGTATTCAACAAGATTCATAAAGGTATAAAAGGTTTCTATAACGGTATCTATATGAAATTCTTTAAGATGTAAAGAAGGATTATCGTGTAAGGTGTTCTATATGCTCTTGTTTTTGATTTCTTCATTGGGCGCATAGCAGGTATAGCGCAGAGCATTCTGCTCCTGATTTTCCTCCCATTAACCCGTTATCTATAAAGTATTCTACAAGGCATTCTATGGTGCATTTTACGGCTATGTTATAGAGTACTCCATAGGGTTATCTTTAGGACTTCCTATGGGG